TTCTCCCTGTGTCTTCACGTGATCTGTCCCGACCTGTGTCTGAATTTCCGCTTCATATAAGGTCCCTGGGCAAGTACCAGTTATACTGGATTAGGACCCACTCTAATGACCTCATTTTAACTTGATTGCCTCTTGAAAGACCCTATCTTTAGTCACATTCTGAAGTACTAGTGTTAGGACTTCCACATATGAATTTGGGGAAGACACAACTCAGCCCATAACAGAGAGGTTTGCAATCTCCAGCCTAAGGGGGACCCCTCATGTGTGCAGGCTAGGTGGGAAGCTGGGGGCTCTGATGGGTCCATCTGAAGGCTTCCAGTTAATCCTGCCCTGCTCCTGTCCCAGCCTGGAGTCCTGGGTCCTTCCTACCAGAGGGTACGTCTCCCATCTCCTGCTGGGCGGGGCGGGGGGAGGGGACAGTTCCTGGCCGCTGGACTTTCAAGCCCACATTCAGCCCTGCCAGTCTCGGACCTCTGATTCAGTCAGGCAGATCAGCCCTCCCCACGTGCCTCTGCAGGCTCGGCTACACGTCTCCTTCACCCTGTGGAATCTGTTACCACCCTCCGTTCACTTTCCGACTTCCAAAGATTTGTTGGAATCTGTCATCTGCTGCTGCCCCCGCTCCAGGTCTCTTGGTTCCCGTGGGCCTTTATCTGTTTTATTCCTTTGCTGTCATTGCACTGGGATCTTGGGAGGAAGATGAGATAAATGTATATGATCAGTCCACTGCATCCACCTGGAAGCCTCTTGGCTTCTCCCCAAGAAGGAAGAAAAGCCGCAGGCTGCAGGGGAGGGTGCTGAAGCAGCTGGGACTCAGTTGGGAGAGCTCTCAGGCACTGCTGGGCCCAGTGGGGAGGGGCTGCAGCCACCTGGGGCTTGGGAGGGGGTGAGATGGAGGCTGCTGGTGGGGCCGGTGGAGCTGCCCTTCGAGTCCTGAATCCCTGTTGCTACTCAGAGAGCGGGCAAGAGGCTCCCAGGTCTGGCTCCGTGTGACATGGGCTCTGGACCCCGGGCTCGGTTTCCCAGGGCCTGAAACCGGCCTTCCTGCCAGTCCCCTCCCCTGGTGATGTCCTAGGTGTGACACTTCATAGGTGTGACACTCCAGAGCCAGAGACAGGGCTGGCGTCTCACACCTCCAAAATAATACGTGTCTTCCAAACTGTTGCTGAAGCTGCTACAATGTTTTTAAAAACCATTTCCACTTCTCTTATATAAGGCAAATACCTTCTGTCGGCCGGGCTGGGTGGGCTGGGGCTGAGACTAGAGCAGCAGGACCAGAGCAGCTCTGGGCTCTGGCTCTCCCCCAGCATAAGGGAAGGCCTGCCGGGCCCCATCTGTGGGAGGCGGGGGCTGCAGGACAGGCAGGAAGGGGCGGCACGGCTGTGTCAAGGCAATCCGTGTTGCTAGTCATCTGTGCTTAGTCCTCGTTGAATTTTCCCTTCAAGGCTTCTCTGTGTCCTCGTGGGGGGTAGGTTTGAATCCGAGGATGCACTGCCATTTCTGGCTCCTGTTTTGGAAGGCCTGAGCTCGTTGAGGAATGTTCTGGGGACAAAGACAGAGGGGATGTCTTTGAAAGAGGTGAGGCAGATTCAGTGTCCGAGGCTAGATAAACAGGAGCTTGCCCAAGGCTAGGAAGAGAAAGGTGTTTGTGGTTCCCTGGGTGGTGGGTGACAGGCCCAGGGAGGTGGCAGGACTGTGGGAGACACCTGGCGAGACAGGACAGTGTCTGGGGGTTGGACTATCCACCTGCCTGCAATGACCAAGGAGGACCGAAGGCAGAGGGCGGTCCCCGGACACCCCAGACTCTCTCGGCCTGGGGGCTTCGTAGGACCCTAGAGAGAGGGAGGGGGCACACACGGCTGGGCCTGACCCTCCCTTCAGTGGAATGGGGCCTGGAGCGATTTATTTTGAGTTACAAGAAATAAAGAAACTCATGCAGTGGGACTCGAACCCTTCACAGCAGGCACGGGCTTTACACGGTGTGTGGCCATCTGTCTCCTGCAAGCAGTTCTCCCAGCCACCAGGGAGGCTAGCTGGCCTGTCTTGTGACAGTGCCACCTCTGCAACCGCACACCCAGTGTGTCTGCTGCTGGGTGAAGATGGGAAGGCTCGGGGCCACAAAGGAGGCGCCTGGGCTCCGGCTTCTCCACTGTGAGAGCTTCAGGGCTGTTGTTTTCTCCGCGGGCAGCATTTGGAGGCGCAGCAGTCTTGCCGTCTGCCTCAGTGGCTCCCTCCTGCGGAGGCTGCGAGTTTACCCCTGAGCCGCAGAGGCTCCGGGCCAGGCCTTCCCTGCTGCAGAACCCGCCTGGCGGAGGAGGAGGAGGACCGAGGCTCCCGGGACCTTGGGGAGGGCAGGGAGGGACTGTCCGGGCCCTGTGGTCTGCATACCCGCAGGTGCACACACACCACACTCGCACATCGCACTCACCACACACGTATCCACACACACACCACACATACACCACACTCACCACACATACATCACACTCACCACACACACCACACTCACCACACATGCACATCACACACACACCACACACACACCACGCTCACCACACACACCACACTCACCACACACGCACATCACACACACACCACACTCACCACACACACCACACTCACCACACACGCACATCACACACACACCACACACACACCATGCTCACCACACACACACTGCACACACACCACACTCACCACACACACACCGCACACACACCACATGTACACCACGCTCACCACACACACACCACACATACACCACGCTCACCACACACACATCACACACATACCACACATACACCACACACATACCACACATACACCACACTCACCACACACACACCACACATACACCACACTCACCACACACACACCACACACATACCACACATACACCACACACACCACACATGCATCCACACACACACCACACATACACCACACTCACCACATACATCACACACACACCACACATACACCACACACATATACCACACTCACCACCCACACACACCACACGCACCACACATACACCACACACACACCACACATACACCACTCATCACACACACACACCACACGTACACCACACTCACCACACACACATATCCACACACACACACCACACATATACCACACACACACATCACACACACACCACACATACACCACACACACCACACTCCGTCCCATCGGCTGCTGTTCACCAGCCACAACTCATGCCCAGCCGGAGCCCCGCTGCCTACCCTGGCATCTGCTCACTGAAAAGGGGCAGCCCTACCCCTGCCCTACCCTCTGGGGCCCCCAGGGGGACCACAGCACCCGACACTGATGAGAGCTGGGTAACTTCCCCTCCGAAGCCACGAGATGCAGGAGGCAGGGAGCTGGGCAGGCAAAGGTGTGCAGTGCAGGAGCCGCCAGGGGCAGGACCTGACTCAGCTACCCTAAATGCCACCCCTCGGCTCCTTTCCCCTGCAGGGGTCAGCCTAGCCTGGGAGCTGGGGCCAGGAGTCAGGGAGCCCCTATCGGGGATGGCCATGCACTGTGCTATGGCCCATCCTGGACGCAGGGAGGAATGGTGCTCAGACTGGCTCAAGCCAGGGTGGCCGAAGCTTGATCTGACCAGAGATGTTCTGCCTGTCCCAGGCCTGCACCTGTGGCCATCCCCAGGCTCAAGACCATTTGTCCTAGATATGCCTGGTCTGTAGCAACAGGAAACCCAAAGGCCACATAACCATGACTGAAACCTTTGTGGGAGGTGATAGGGCCTGATGGGAAGGCTGGTTGTCTCTCGGGGACCCTTTCTGGGAGCCCCAGGGTCACCCCTGGAAGCCCAGTTTGAAGGTCCCTAGAGCCAGTGTTGGCTTTAGAGGTGTGCATTTGCCTTGTCACCAGCAGAGGGTGCCCTGAGCCAGCTCACGACTTCTAGTCTGCCCTCAGTCCTCCTCTGTCCTTGGTCCTCTGAGACTGAGCACCCCCTAGGACAGGGCTCAGGTCTGTTCCTGTCTTCAGCCACCTTCCCACCGCCCATCGCCATAATGGATGCAGGACCTAGCACATGCTAGGTGCTTAATAAATGTCTGTTGAGTGGATGGGAGGATGGATGGATGGATAGATGGAAGGAAGGAAGGGAAGGAGGGAGGAAGGAAAGAAGGAAGGGTGGGTGGGTGGGTGCACGGACAGATGGACAGAGGGATGGACGACGGATGGATGGATTGATTGACAGATGGGTGGGTGGATGGATGGATGGGTAGATGGATGGATGGACAGACAAATGGATGGATGGATGGGCAGACGAATGGACAGATGGATGGATGGATGGATGGATGGATGGGTAAATGTAAATGTTTATCGATATTGGTATCAGTAAAGGTTTATTGATAGACTGAACCCATAGTCCCTGCTGTGGACTAAATTCTCTCAGGAAACAGAGAGAAAGCTTAGCAACCTCTCCAGGAAAAGGGCCCAAATGCTGATATTTTCTTGCTGCTTTCCACCCAGTGTTCCTGTGGTCTTGTCATCAGGTTTCCCTGTGTCCTTCCTGTTCCCTGGTTACACGCCTTCCCCTCTCCAACCTCTGCTGAGCATTCACGACCCATGGGAAACACAAACCTGGAAGGGGCGTGGCTGCAGAGATGAGGTTTGGGGGAGAGAGACAACCGTTTCCTACCGAGCATACCTGCTGGCCCAGCAAGGCTGTGGGCCCGGAGTGGCCTGGCAGCAGCGCCCTGCCCCGCATGCCAACACAGTTCTTCCCTGCCCTGCTTCCTCTGTTCTTTGGCTCTTCCTGGCTCCTGCTCTGGGGCTGCAGGTCTGAGTACACTAAGTGGATCAATAACGTGTCAGCCCCTTGCCAAGAGCAAGCCGCATCAATCAAGAGCTGAGTGACAGCTAATCATTTCTCACCTGGTGTTCACCCTTCCTGGGATCCACGGGCTCTGCTCGGAGGCTGCTGGAGGCCCGGAGGCAGTGTCAGACTCTGCCCCGCTCCCCTGCAGGCCCAGGGCACTTGCCTGGGCCACGTTTCCACTCCCAACATGCGATCCCACGTGCATCTGCGGCTTGGTGGGAACACGTGCACACCCTGGGCTCATGAGCACACATGTGCCTGTGAGTGTGAGCAGACCTGCATGTGTGAGCACACTCGGAGGGTGAATGGCTGGCCTCCAGGGCATGCCTGGGGGCCCATCTGCGAGTGTGTACATGAGACCATGAGTATTTGAGGATGTGCGTGTCTACATGTGGGTGTATGTTCGTGTGCACGTCCATGTGTATCTCTGAGTATCTGTGTGAGTGTTTGCGTACACAGGTGTGTAGGAGCACACGTCTGTGTGAGTGTAGGCCTCTGTGTGTGTGTACATGTGTGTGTCTACATGAAGGTGCGTGCTGGGTGCCTGTGTTTGTCATCAGGGTGCTGCTGTCCACGCCAGAGGCTGCAGCCCCCTTGGGTACTCTTGAGTCCTCTCTCCAGGAGAGGGGTGCCCGCAAGATGCCCCATCCTAGGCCATCTCGCTGCCCCTCTCCCCTTGACCCATGCCTGGCAGGGCGAGGTGGTAACTGAAGCCCTGTGCTCGCCACTGTCCCGTTTCTGTTGGAGAAAGCAGGTGCTGGAGGGAGGAAGGCAGCCTGCAGGGAGAAGGGTCCTGGTTGATGGGAACATGTCAACTGAAAGGCCGACATCAGGAATGGCTGTAGTCAGGTGCTGTCTCAGCGTCATCAGGACTCAGCTTCTCCACTCCTCACCCCTGCTTTCCCCTTATGGGCTTCACTCCCAGGCAGCATTTCCCCTGGGGGTGGCCCTGGCCTCTCCAGGCCTCAATTATCACTCTAGCTTTGTCACCTGACCCATCTTGAGCCAATTCCTATGGCTAGGGTGGGACTAAGCTGGTTGGTCCAGCTGGATTACATGCCGCTCCTGGTGTGTGTGGTGTCACCCCATGCAAACCACAGGGGCTGGGAGTGGAGAGGGGGAAGGCGGGTGCTGGTGGGATGGGAATGGGGGGATTCAGTGTGCAGAGGCAGCATTTGGCACTCCTCTCCCTGGCATAGGGTTCAGGTCCCAGGCGCTAACAGCTGCAGCCTCAAGGGCACTGGGCCTGCCTCCTCAGGGCCGCCAGCCCCACCCGGGGTCTCACAACAGCCGCTCTGCAGGCCCTGGATGAGGCCACCTGCTCTGGCTTTAGAGGCTTTCAGTCACCCCAGCTTCTGGCCACGTGCCCTTGCCCAGGCTCCACTGGTTACCAGCCACCCAGGGCCTGAGCTGGCTCCTGCCCCTGAAACCCAAACCCTCCCCCAGACTCCCTGGCCCGGCCCCATCCATCCCCTCCACTGTTGCCCACCCCGCTTCTGGACAGACCCTCACCCACAGGCCGTATCTGCACCCTGAGTGAAGGGCCCCTGGCCCCGTGCAGCCTCTCAGAAGAAGGGGAAGGTGCTGGGCCAGGCCCCCACCTATGGGGTCAGGTCCAGCGTTGGGGGCCTCGCCTTCCCCAGTGGTCCCCCCATCCTGGAGGAGGACAGCCACGGCCACTCCGGGGCACAGCCAGAGGAGCCACACGCAGCCCTTCCGCAGAGCGTGGTGGCTGCAGGGTCGCAGCAGGCAGGCAGCTCTTCCCGGAATCCATGAATAATTGAAGGCGCCTTAAAGTGTGCGCCTGCAGCCTGCAGGCCGCCCCCTCCCCCACTGTGTGTGGGAGAAAGCCCAGACAATGTTGCTGGGTGGGCGTCATCCGCCAGGGATGGCCCTGGAGGCGGGTGGAGGCCAGGCCTAGGCCTGCCCCTCCTGGGCCTGCCCCCTGCCCCTCTCTCCTTCCTCACCTCCCCACCCTCGGAGCCCCCGGGCAGGAAAGGTCAGCCGAGAGGGCCTGCTGCAGGTGGCAGGCAGGGCAAGCTAGCTGAAGGGCTTACCAGCCAGGTTGCACAGAGAGGCCCACTTTCGGGTGGGGGTGGTTGGGGGGCCATCCCCAGCAGCTCTTCCTCTCCCGGCAGCTGTTCCACGGGGCCCAGAGGGAGGGGCCACACCTGGGCAGACCGCAGCTAGGGGCCAGGCTGGAGTAGAGCCAGCCTGCAGCTGCTCCAAAGCAGATAGATCCCTGGGGAGGGACTGGCAGGTGATGGGGAGAGGGGGCAGGTAGTGATGGCCCCGAGCCCCAGGGAGCCGTCCAACTCAGCCGTGTGTGTGCGTGTGTGTGTAGATGTTGTCACAAGGGCCGCGAGCCAGTGTGTGCAGGTGTGTCACATTGTGTGGTTGCATTGGGAACTGTGTGGCTGTGTCTGTGACAGAGGGAACACAACTGGGCCTCCACGTCTATGGCTGTGCATGTCACGGAGACCTGATCAGGGCTAAGAGGTCCCAGGCTTGGAAGAACATCTCCTTCTGGCTCCAGGCTGCCCCCCACAGCCCCAGGGCACCCCCAGGGCGTGCTGTACCTGAGTGCGTCTGCCTGCCACTATCTGGGCTCCTCCCAGACCCTCACGCGGAGAGCTGAGCCTGGAGGCCAAATCCTTCAAACCTGAAATTCCTGGTCATGAAATTTGCAAAAGGTGAAAATTAAAACCAGCTGCCACATCCTCTGGTTGCTGTGCCAGCCCGGGCTCCCTGCTGAGCCCCAGGTGGGTCTCCCAAATGCTCCGCTCCCCTGAAGGAGCCCTGGTTTCCTCATCAGTAGAGAGAGTGATTCTTCCTGCCTCTTCCTCATCTGTCCCAAATGCTACACGAGTGGGAGATAGGATTTCTCCAGCAGCCCCCTACCCCCACCCCTCAGCCTCACCTGGGGCTCCGGGGGGAAGGGGTCAGGGTGTGAGGGCAGCCAGGAGAACCAGGTGGGGGCATTGAGCTGCGTGACCCCTCACCTCTGCTCCAGCATTCCGTGTCCCCTGTGTCCCCTCGTCCAGTCATGGTAGATGCTTTGGGGAGACTCAGGTCCGAGTGGCATGGGCTGGGGCCTGGGCTCGGCTGGACTTACCCACTCAGGGCTCTCGCCTGGAGGTGGTCCTGTCCCCGAGAGCCCAGAGAGGAACAGCCAGGATGGGGCGAGAAGGTCATTGCTCGCTGCAGTGGGGGCGTCCTGCACCTTCCCTCTTCTTCCCTCCCCGGACCTGGTAGAGGGTGGTCAGCTGGGAGCTGGATTTTACCCAGCTCTGCCCTGAGGCCCTTGTGGAACTGGGCAGAGGGCTCTCGGGGCCACTGATCTCTTGAGATGACCATGCTGCCCCCCAGGAGTGGAAGGTGGGGTGGTGAGTAGGGCAGGGGATGGAGCCACCTGCACACCAGGTCACACAGGACTGGCCACGCTGGGCACTGGCATTGGGCCATTTAAAGGTGAGGCGTCAGCCTGCGGGTGGTGGCAAGGCCGCAGACCTTGGAGCTCCCTTCTGGGTGGGAAACAGGAGGGACCTGGGTCCATTCCCCCTGGGCAGAGAGATCCACCCAGTACATGCATCTCCATAACGGTGCCGAACCCCCAAGTTGGCAATGGCGGGTCTGAGTTTGCTTCTTCATCCCAACTGCCACAAAGGAGGGGCCTCCCATGGCAGGAGACAAGGGAGACATGGGCCAAGGGCTGTGAGCACAGGGTGTGGGGGAAAATGTGACAGCAGGCCTGGCATTCGGGGCCCTACCATCCCTCACCGGCACCCAGGCCTGGCCACGCTCCCCGATTGCTCCTGACCTGACAGGTGCCCCTCCCAGCACGCGCACATGCTGGGACCATGCGCTTCGTCCAGAATCTCCTGGGAGCCATTGACAGCCGTGGTCCACTCCCCAGATGTGCCCCACAAATCAGATCCTCCCACACCATCCCCCTTTCTTCAGAACCTTGTGTTTCCTCGCTCCGAGGCTGAGCCTGCTTTCCTTCAGGAGAAGAATCTGGTACCGTGGGCATCCCCTCCTGGAAGTCCTCCATCTGCAGAGCTTGGGATAGACAAGCAGGGTCGGGCCACAATCTCGTGCTAACCCAGGAGGCTGGACCAGGTGCCCATGGCAGATCTCAGCACCACAGAGGAGTCCCTGCCACGTGGGGCCCGGGACTGGGAGGGGGATGGGCCTGCGTCGGTGTATCTGGTGTGTGTGCCCAGCCTCCTGTAGCCTGTGGGCATGTGCAGCCATGGTCGTGAGTGTGCACAGGTGTGCCACGTGGTCCCGGAGCGGGCCTTGGGGGAAAGCTGGGGGCTGGGCTGCCGTTTGCTGGGGTTGTGCAGCTCGTCGCGGCTGGCTTCTTTATTAATCCGTTTTGTGAGCAGACTCCGGAGTTCATGTTGTGAATCTGGCCATTTGCTCCCGTTTGCTCCGTGCCCCCTGGGAGGAGGAGCACATGTTAAATATTTGCGGTTTTGCTGCGTTAGGTTTTAAAGTTCAGCAGTAATTACCGTGACCAGGTGCCGGGTGGATCTGCTCCCTGGGGAAGCCTCCCGCTGCAGCAGGCTGGTGGCTGCATTCCAGGCCACCTCCGTGTGCTGTTTGCACAAACCTGTGTGCCTTCCCTTCCGGAGTCCCTCTGCCTTGCTGAGCCCTGAACCCAGTCAGGCTCTGCCGCCTGTGGGTGGGGTGCAGATGGATGCCCCGTGGTGGGTGCTCTCCCCAGAGGGTGAAGGGCAGGGCTGTGGGCAGCCGAGCGCCAGTGTGGGCCTGCTCTGAGCAGAGCCTGGGGGCTCCAGCAAACACCTCGGCCCCCATGGCAGGTTCACAGCCACCCCTGTAGCAGTCCACACACGTTCTGGCATAACAGGCAGAATTCTCTTTATTTCCAGAATAAATTTTAATGGTTGGGTTCTAGACCCCCAGCCCACCTTGTGCCAGACTACTTAGCTACTCTTTCAGGTAAATTCAGTCCAACCCATGATTTCTTGGACTAATTTGGGATAATGAACACAGTCGCATCTGGTTCAGCATTCTCTCCTGGCTCAGGCCCGGGCAAGGGTGGTGTCTATGTCCTCCATCTGGGTGCAGATGCTGCTTTTGGGGTGGCTCCAGTGGCAAGGCTGGTGCCCTTCAGTTTTCTAGGTAGCACCTGCTTCTCCCCTTGGCTTTTCCTAGGACCACATGTCACACACGTCCTCAACAATGGAGGTCCTTCAGGACAGCTGCCAGATCCAAAGAAGGGGTGGGGTGATATAGCACCAACTGGTGCCAGGCGAAGAAGAGGCACATTTGGGCTGAACCTCACATGACTGTGCCCCACGGACTCATGCAGTCCCAGGAAAGAGCTCCTAGCCTGTCCCTGATACTTGGGTTTGGTTAGGCCATCATCCCAGCCTCTCCTCTGCCATCCCTGAGCTGACTGTGGGCACCTAGACATGCACCTGCCCTCAAGAGGCTCACAGCCCATTGGGAAGAGAGATGTGGGGGAGCCCAGAGCAGGGGAGGGAGGGTGGCAGACCCCACTCCTGTCAGCTCCCTGGGAGACTGTGAGCTGGAGTCTAGAGGAGCTGAGGCCCCCAGGGGAAGAATGCACCATAAAGCAGGCTTTCCCCAGTGAGGGAGCCTTGGGCCTCAGGACAAAGGCAAGCTCACACACCCATGGTGTTGGCTACTCTGGTCCAGCTTCTGGCCCCGCCCTCTGTGGACCACACCCAAGTCCTGTGGGAGGGGCTGGGAACACACGAAGAGCATCTCATCAGACATCCGCAAAGCGTTCTGGCACAGGGAGCTGCTCTGCTGGCATGTAGCAGGAGTGGGATGGAGGGGAGACGGGCCTACCGCTGTTATGTACCAGAATGCACTGCCATTTGGGCATCCCAGGAGCTCCAGGCTTCTGTTGTCTGTGGAAACTAGAGGGAAATCCAGTGGAAGCCCAGAGGGAAACAGGTTTGGCTGGGGCAGCTGTCTCATCTGAAGGTTCAACCGAGGGCGGATCTGTTTCCAAGCTCAGCCACACAGCTGCTGGGATTCATTCCTCTCAGGCTGTTGGCCTGAGAGGCTGGGGCGGGATTCATTCCTCTCAGGCTGTTGGCCAGAGAACTGCCTCAGTTTCTTGCCGTGTGGGCCTCCCCACAGGACAGCTCACGACACAGGAGCTGGGTTCCTTCAGAGCAAGTAAGCAAGAGAGGGCAAACAGAACAGAAGTCTCGGTGTCTGTGTAACTTCCTCTCAGAAGTGACATCCATCACTTTAGCTGTCTTCTCTGTGTGAGAAGCTGGTCTCCAGGTCCAGCCCACAATCTGGAGAGGGGATTGATCGCAAGGGCAAGTTGCCAGGAGTGGGACCATTGGGTGCCAGCTGGGAGGCTGCCCTCCACAGGTGGGGTGTGATTGAGGTGCTCTCATGGGGAAACAACACATTCTGGTTTACAGTGTAAAAGGGTCACTGTGGCTGCAGTGTGGAGGAACAGTTGGGATGGGGCAAGGACGAAGCAGGGAGACCATTTGGGAGAAACTCGACTGCACTGAGACTAGTTTCCCTATCCGTGAGGTGGATGTAAGGTTAATAATAGAGCCTTCCTCAGAGGACATTGTGAAAATTAAATGAGATCATACGGGGACCGTGCTCAGCCTGGGGCTGGGCAGATGTGTGGTCTTTTTCCTTCAGACGTTCCATTGCCCTCCTAGGGTCTGGATTGGCTGCTGCCCCCTTCAATTTGTTGGATGTGTCTTTATGTGTTT